TAAAGTCAGCAAATTTAGAGCATACATGTGTAAGGGACATAACAAATAGGCCTTGCACTGCAAAGTATATAGCAGATAGGTATTCAGACACTTTCAAAGTTGACCCTGATTGGAAGTCTAAACTTATTATGAAGGCTGTAAAGGATGATTTGAAGTTGACAATTAATAAAGTTACGGCTTGGAGTGCTAGAAGATATGCTAGGTTATTAATACAAGGATCTGATGAGCATCAATTCGGTATGCTTAGGTCTTTTGCAGCTGAGGTTTTGAGAACCAATACTGGGTCTACATGCATAGTTGCCATGCATGAACTAAAGTTTCAAGGTATATACATTTGTTTAGAAGCTTGCAAAAGAGGCTTCTTGTTAGGTTGTAAGCAACTGTTGGGATTAGATGGGTGTTTCTTGAAAGGGAAATTTGGAGGTCAGATGCTCGTTGCTGTGGCATTAGATGCCAATGATTGCATTTACCCAGTAGCATATGCAATAGTAGAGAGTGAAAATGCTACTACTTGGAGGTGGTTTCTACAACACCTGGGTGAAGATTTGAAGATTTTGAATAGTAATAATTGGACATTTATGACTGATTGACAAAAAGGTCTACAAAATATCATAGACGATTTGTATCCCGAGGCTGAACATCGTTTTTGCGTCGACACATGTATAGTAATTTCTTCGGGACCGACTTTAAGAGTTTGACTTTAAAAGATTACTTATGGAGGGCTGCCAAGTCTACGACAGTGGCTGATTGGAGTTTTTGGATGTGTGAGATTGAGAAGGAGAGTAAAGCAACACATTCTTGGTTACAGAAAAGGCACCCAAGTGAATGGAGTAAGGCTTACTTTATGACAAAGGTGAAGAGTGAGATACTTCTGAACAACCTATGTGAAATTTTCAATAATGTGGTATTGAAAGAAAGAGAAAAATCCATATTGTCCATGTTAATTGACTTGCACATAAGCTTTATGAAGAGGATACAAGCAAGGAGGGACAATATGAGAAAGGTAACTGGACCTTTATGTCCTAAAGTCCAACAGAAGCTTGTGAAGAGTTGTGAGTTAGCAGATGGATGTGAGGTGGATTGGTCGGCGGGGCACAATCCTATATGAAATGTCCAAGTGGAGAATTTGTTGTCGATCTACGTAATAAGATGCGTGCTTGTAGGAGATGGGATTTGTCAGGGATTCCATGTGGTCATGCAGTTGCTGCAATTTTAGATAGAAGGGGAAAGCCTTGGCGGTACGTGCATGAGTGCTATATGGTTAGAACGTATCTCAGTTGTTATGAGAATATCATCTATCCCATCAATGGAGTAAAGTTATGGCCTTTGGTTGATGCCCTTCCAGTCAAACCACCAATTTGGGTTGTGTCTAAATGGGGAAGAAAACAAAAGAAGAGAAGGAGATAAGCAGAGGAAGATGTCGTTACCTACGTTGGATCCAAGGGTAAGCTGAAGAAGAGAGGTATAACAGTAATTACTTGTAGTACTTATGGAGCAACAGGCCACAACATGAGGTATCATCGGAAGGCTGACTCACCACATGAGGATTGTTTAGAGTTCAAAGATTATGTTTATATCCTTTTCTTGTTCAACTAATATGGAAAATGAAAACACTATATGTGCTCATTTCAGGTTTGGCATGACAGTGATATAAATCCTGCAAATGAAGATAGGGCAAACCACGTTGTGAGTGATAACTCACGGCTAATCAAAACTAATCAAATATTTTCTCGAATTATTCAAACATTTTACTTTGCTTAAATGATATCCAACCTTCCTTTTCAGGTCAAACTAGTGCTTAGGAGGCCACCGAGCAATATTACAATGGAAGTGTAACCATCTACTTTCCAGTTCATGACTACACCTGACATTGGTATAACAAGTGCTTCGTAATTCAACAACGATGGTCCTCCACTTAATTAGCCAGGTAGTTCAACAATGGAGGAAGCTCCTCTGCAGATGCAAACTACACGTGTTCCACTTGAGTCCTTAGTGGAGGACCTACATGATATAGAGAACCAAGAAAGGTCAAGGAAGAGGGCAGCCATGATAACAATAAAAGGGTCGTTCGAGGGTCAGTTCCATTTGCACCACCAAGAACGAAGATAAATTCAGCTACTCAGTAAGGCATTGGATGTTTTGTTTCCTTTTGTGTAAAGTTGCTGGACATGAACCTTTTGTAAAACACGTGATCAGATGGCTTGCTGGATATTGGCTATTTTGTTTCTGTTTTTGTGTAAAGATGTTGGAATTGGCAACCTATTGCAGTTCCTGTAATTTTTATTATGTAATTTTTTGTCAAGTTCTGTAATGTTTTGTTATGAAATTCTAAAATAGTTAGGTTCATTGGCAACCTATTCTGTAATGTTTTATTTTGTTATGAAATGAAATTCACCTATTCTGTAATGTTTTGTTTTGTTATGAAATTCTTTAGATGGCTTGGAAGTGATGAGCAGCAGCACAAGAACACCATTCATTTCATTCAAACATCTGTCTATTGAAATTACAACATAGAAACCAACAAACATAAAAACCAACAAAAAGAGCCAGGCACCATCCTAATTATTCACACAAGCCAAAGTTAAAAAATGGGAATCCCAAAAAATACTTTTGAAGCATCCATCTTATTACTACAAACTACAAACTGCCCATCCTAATTAATCACACAAGCCAAAGCATTTGAAGCATCCAGCTTATTAATACAAACTACCTCCACCACCAAAATACCTCCACCACCCAAAAACCAAAATACAAACAAAGGGAGAAACTTCTTCAGCTTTTTTTAGAAATGAATTTGCATTTTCCAAATACGGGCTTCTTCAGAAGACAATGCCACGGGTTTTCCAAATTCTTCAGCTTTTTTCCATTCTTCACTGTCGGGGAAGAAAACTCTTGTTACCATCAATTTTGGAACTCGTCGGACACCAGCCCCAAATCGATTGTTAGTGTCGGCTTTGTTGTTCACGATTCTGAGATGTGGATGGAGAGAATTCATGGAGAATTGAAGATGGTGTTCTTCCTAGGGTTCGATTGGAATTGGGAATTTTCAAATTCTCTGTAATTTGTAATTGAAATGGAGGAGTGAGGATGATTTGTTTTGAAGAGATGAGAAAAACATGCTTTTCTTAAAGTTAGCCGCGTAATTATCCGACGCGCGAAAAATTAACGTCGTGTATTGCCACATCATTTTTCCATCCGCCACGTAGACAATTTTATCCAGCTGTGTAGACGGAATTAGGATGGGTGATTGATGGGTAAACTAATATATGGTTCGGTGAACATTGGGTAACTTTTTATATTTCAGTGAACAAGTAGCAACCACGAGTAAAGTTCAGTAGGCACCGATTTAATTAACTCGTTGAGATATTAGGATGTATATTTATAAGATATATAATACATTATTTTATATATAATATTTATTAATTACCATAAATAATTTGAATTTTTAAACATTTACATTTAAAATTGAATTTGGGTATAGTTAAGGTTTGAGTTATGTACTCTTCCCTCTATTATAAATTTATAACACTATTTTGGATATGGGTTTGGGTAGTAATGGACTACAATCATTTATATTTAGCCCCTATTTAAAATCTAGATTTTTATTAAAGTCAAAGTCAACAATTAATTTTAACCATATATTTTATAGAACTCACAACTTTTCAATGACACATTTCATCAACTTTTTTCAAAATTTGTTAAAAATTTTGATTTTAATATCATCAAACGGGGCTTAATATAGGCCAAAAGCAACCGAAATATTTTTGAATGAATGGGGCAAAACTTGAACTACATGCATACATTTTGCTTAAAAAGTAAAACCAATGAACTTAAAACTGGTGCTATTGAAATTTCTGATCAACACA